ATAATTCACACCAAATTTAGTCCAATTTATTTCAGATCTTTATTCAGTTCATCAGAGCTACCATTCCTCTCCATTATAGGGTTTCTCATTAATTATGAATTGAAATAATTTTACATTTAGTTAACGATATGATTTATACTGTTGTTAATACTCATTTCTAATCAATGCAAATATAATTCTCTTATTTACTTAATTTCATTCAAAACAAAATCCTATTTTAATTATAAATGTATTGTATTCTAAGAATTGTAAATCTTTTACCTAATCATTAGTCGACTTTATTATTTATAGATAGTAATTAAGTTATGTATAAATCGTAAATGAAATCAATGTTTTTAATTATTTTACTAGATTACAATAACTGACACAATATCCATTATATAATATCATCGAAACTGATATTTTTGTTATTGACTCAATTATGATATAATTAACCAATTATTAAAAATATTTGCAATGTACATAATCCACTCAATAAAGTGATTTTTTGTATACCTGTATTAAAAATCAATTATTTTTACTGGCAGAATATTCCTACTGTATATGATTTAGACATGTGTCTTACTGTATGTTATATTAAAATTTGGTGTTTAAAAGTTTAAACTCAGTTTCTTTGGATATGTTTAACCGCAAACCACAATTCCTAGTAATGAATCTACATTTAGAAATCCCTTTAGAAAACTTAAACTACAATTTGATTTAGTTTTTGTAGCGGTGAAAGTCTTCTTAAATTTAATATAATACAGTACTACTGTACTGTACAGAATGAATTCAATGTAAATTGCAAATTGAAAATTGCAATGCATTATTTATTTTGCAAAGCAATAAAATCACGTTTTTAACTATACCAGTAATATACCGGTAAGAAATAACCCAAACAATTTCCATGAGTTCTGTTTCTCTGGTTAATTTATAAAATATGCATTATACCATATTGGATCCTACATTAACAATATAATTTATTTTGATAATATTGTGAGCCTTATACCGTATTATACAGAATAACGGTATGGTACAGTACAATATATACATATTGTATAATGCTCTTAAGATATCACAACTAATTTAATTAAACCAATAGTTCTTGAGTATATCTTTTGATTATAGGCCCAAAGTATTCAAAATTGGAATTAAGAATAAAATATTACTTATACAGTAAAGTAATAAATATTATTTACTAATTTATATCAGTTTTATATTCCATTGAAAGTTGGGAAACAAAACAAAATTAAAGTTTTGAATGAATGAGTATAACTTATTTGGATCATTCAATTGGTGTCAAACAGTTATAAATTGTCATTTACTCTGAAGTTCAATAGATAGAAATATTTGTAGTTTGGTCTCACAAGTCAAGTCAAACAAATACTGTTTAAATTCTTTATTTAACCCCAATATTGATGTTTTGGTCATTAATATTGTATTCCTTAACAAATGCTTTCTTATAGAATAATGCAATAAGGGTTGCATTAAAATTAACTCAAATTGAGGAAAAGTTTGATTTAATTACAAAAGTTAGTCCTATATATGTCTGAAAAGAGTCTAAATTGACAATTAGTCAAACATTATACAGATATCACACAACTTCAATATGAACTCGTTTTGTGCGTCAATAAAAAAATTCATTCAAATAGTAAATTAGTGACACAAACTAATTGTCTAATTTTTTTCAATTTAAGTGTCACATGTAGACAAAATTAATGATCATAAGTAACAAAATTAAAAACGCAATGACTTATAACATACAGATTTTATAAATAGAGCAAATATGAATCATTTATTTTTGATTTATAAAATTTAAGATTTATAAAATTTACAATTTTAACGAATAAAAATATTAAATAAAAGGAAATATTAAAATAAAAAGTAAGCGAACACATTTTATAGCAATGTTATTTTATAGAATTAAAAATTTATGTGTTTCCATCAATTATGAAACTTTATGTTAAAATTAAACAATTTAAATGTGATTGAATAAAATGAATAAATTGATGTTGCGTTCACTTTGTTGAATAAATTTGGGAAAATTGAAAGAAATATTATACTATAACATATAATCATAATATAAATAATCTTAAGTAGAAATAAAATGACTTAATTTTTTGGATTTAGAAACAAAGATTTCAAAAGTGGAGTTCAATTGAGGAGACAATTAGCTGATGGGTGAGTTGGATGAGTTGCTGGTGTAGTAGTGCTTAATCTCACTGTTGTTATACTCGATGTGATTGTAATTCATGTGCATATTCTGGACGTCTTCCTTATAAACATTGGTTATATATCCAGCAGTTCCGCACAATTCATTCAAAATCACTCTCATGNAATTGAGGTTTGAGTAAAAGTGGATTGAACTCACAATTATATGATATCAATTACAATGTTTTGCATATTGCGCTCAAAAATAATAAAACCTTATTCAAAAATTATTATTAAATATATTTGTAATTAAATGTAAATTAAATCCTAAAAATTATTGAATTTTAATTTCATTAATTAAATATTATATAACTTATTAATATAACTCATTAAGTCGTAAAATAACTTTCAAACTTATATTGCTTTCCTTTTTAAAAGTACAATTAAAATTATAGCTAAATATTAATAAGTTTGATATACTAAATTGATACATTGACTAAATATTACAATAAAACTGAGACATACTTGGCATATTTGAGGTCCGATTGATGTCTATCGCCGTACAATAATTTACTTATTTTCTGTAAATCGTTGTAAACATTATACAAGTTTTCATTATCACTGCGAATACAGTTGACTCCACTCTTGGCCATAGTTTGGGAGTCAATATCGTTGAGACGAGTGGGCACTAAGACCGTGGACTTCATGTCAGCCATACATCTCTCAAATGACTTAATGGTCTGAATGAGTGATCCTTTATTTTTGACAATCACGTCCTCTTTCGCACTTTTGTTATCCATTTTTAGCATAAAAATTGCTTTCGTTTCCAATGCTTAAAAACTTTCAAAAATAAAACAATAATTTTTAGAAATTTAGTACAAAGCATAAAATATTTTTAACTATCTTTTCTCTGTAAGAGAAAAATTTTCTAAAGTTATAAAACAGACTAATATTATGAAATGAAAACACATCAATACTTGAAAAAGTAATTGCATCTGTTATGTTATTAAATATAAAACTCGTTTTTGCCAAACGATTATATTCTCAGAACTGATATTTATATAAGAGAATTAATTTTCTATACATTTTGATGGATACAATTTCCTCAACACTTTTACCACTCATACCAGTGATTCGTAATCGCTTTAAAATTCTGGTTTTCATACAGTGTATGCAAAATTCATATGTATATTAGTAATATTACGGTACTTTTATTTTTATAAGCATTTATAATCAGTGGAAATCAATTGTCGTTGCATAACAATCAAAATCATTGATTGATATTACGATATGTTTAACAGGTTTACATGAAAAGAAAACTACAAACAAATTAATGTTATGATGACTGACTAGTTCTGCCATCAAATTATGCAGCATTTTTCATATAAAGTTCAATAAACAACTCAATGTTCAGATATTTCATGATTTAGATCCGAGTTTTAAATTAACACAAAATTATTAAATATCTCATTAATTAAGACTTACTTAAATCTGTTGATTATAGTTATAGAAACATCATAGCAATTTAATTTACTTGAAATACAATATGTTTTTACCTGATTGAAAAATTTATTAAATAAATATTATAAACATTTCCATAACTACTACAGACAGTAGACTAGTACAGCGTCGAAACTTTACGAAAATTTAATTACTATTTTGAAATAATTAACGGTATATTATAATAATATTATTATTACAGTTAATTGAAAATAAACTGAAAACTTATACCTGTAGTATTTTGGTGATAAATATTTGTAAGCAAACAATTTTCTATTGGTTGCGAAGTCTCTTCAAAACAATTATAGTTTCTTTATTTTAAGCCAAGAATGAGGTTATGTTGTGTTAACACATATTACTGGTATATGTCAGTAGAGAAGGCAATGCGATGTCTATTCAGGTCTTCGTCTGACGAGAAAAAAAAGTTATATAACTTATGAACAAAAGAAACGCAATCTTATTGCACTTATTATTGAGTTTAGTCACGAAATATGATGGAAATTATAATTTCAATCTCTATTTAAAAATATTTTTAGTATTATATATAAACACTGCGCTGGCCTTCAAAGAAATTATTGATTTCCATTAAGTGATGAATAATAAAGGCCCACATCAGCGGGTATTACATCTTACGGTTCACTTTATGCCACTCTTACCTGACTTCGATGAAGATTTCAAGTTGTCATATATATCGAGATCATATATAGATATATATTTAGGTCTCAATTAGTATCCATTTATCAAACGTGTGATCAAAATGTCTGAAAAGTAATTATTAGTTGAAAACTTACAGCTCTTTACGACTCCAATCACTTAAATGACAGACATTTGAGGAATAAGTGAAAAGAGTAAAAGTGAAATGATTTCAATTTTCACTCTCTTTTTTACAGACAGAAAGTGATGAAAACGTTGAAATAAGAGTCAATTTTAATGAAAATCTAATTACAAATTCCCCTAATCCTCAATAATCCCTCAAAATAAGAGATTTATATGTTTAGCGTTGACTGGACTGCAAAATCAATGTTTGATAGAAATCTTGCCAAAGACTAGTCTCTCTGTCAATAAAACTGGTTTTCCATCGAATCACTCGAAGTCACCACAGAATTGACGCAAAACTAACCTTCAGTTTTGGTGTTTTGGTTAATAAAAAAAAGTTTAATTACCGTTAAATAAATGATTGACTCAAACAGCTATTCTGTTTCAATTAATGATAAATATTTTTTTAATGAACCTAATGTTTGAGTTTGAAATTCAAACTCTGAATATTGTACCATTAACTGTAATCGCAATTTAGTCGATGTATCATTAAATGCTAAAATAAGCTCATCTTAATTATAGTTTAAAATCGGTAGACTTTAAAAATCACTTTTAAAAAATTTTCCATTTTATTTAATCATATTTACCTTAGCATTTTCTAGAATCTAGATACTGTAGTTTGTTTTATAAAAATAAAATCAAAAATACAAATAACATAACAGTTTTATTAAAATAAATTAGCATTATATTTTTAAAGGTTAAGAATTATTAATTAAAGTTTGCAATATAATTATGTATTATAATTAAAGTTTAATTATTAAACAATCAACAAACATTTTCAAAATTGAGGATGTGCTCATTAACAAAAGGGTTTATTTATTATTGAATACAGTTCATTTGCAAATATAAATAATAAAGTGTTCAAGTTTTAGCAATTCTGTATTATAAACTTTATAATATAAAGTAACAGTCAAAATATTTGATAACATTTTGTATTAAAATAAAATATTTTATTATTTATATATGTTTTGTATTAAATATAAATCATATCATAATTAAACAAATATTGTTTACATTTGAAATTAAAATAAGTGCAAAA